CCTATCTAGCCCATAAGTCTGCCCTCCTAGCTAAGATCACTCATAAGGAACGACGGATGTCAAACTGCGTTTATGTACATTCCTTTCTCAGGATACAGGATCAATGTTGTTCCCCTTTATATCACGTATTTATATCCTGTACTTAATGGCTGGCTTCAGAAACGATCTCCTCACGTTGCAGTTCACACTGTTTGGCTTCGACGATGGAAGGTGTATTGCCAACCCTCGGAGGTACATGCATCTAATGCATGACGCTTCGAATTTTTTAAAGTCCCTTCAGCAACGACGAGAGTCACGTGCAATTTTCCCACACCCTGTATTTTTTTCAATTTCTTGAAGCTTTAAATCATCTTGCTCTTGGGAACACCGAGCACTGAGAGAAAAACAATGACTTGGTTGGCTGCTGGACCCACACTCTTGAGCAATCAGGCCTCACCATGATGCTGGACCTGCAATGGGCTCGCCTTCTGATCAATCACATGGAGATTAGGTTTATTGGCCGCCCCATTGTCTAAATCCGTGTGGTGAGGCTATTATGCGCCGGATAATGCCGACATTTATCTCTGTGTGGTCAATTAACCTTTGAAGGACCAAACTATGGACAGCCTTCGATACCGTGTCTAACACTCCAGCACCACGGTGATTTTCACACCGTTCACATATCCGTTTTGAATGTAGATACTTTCTGCTCACTCCACATACCAACAAGAGATTGTTTGGGATGGCTAATCATGGGTTCTCCTTCGTCTGTGAAGAAGATGGACTACAAAATATCGTCACCGGATCCGATGCTGGTGCCTCGGGCATACGATCTATGCACATGCAAGCATTCCGATTGGTTAGTTGTGCACAAGCCAGGAAGCGCGTGGGTTCAAACTGCATTTGTGAACAAGCCAGGAGGAAAACGAGTTTGATGATTAAAACGCATAAACTGATGGGAGATGGATTATCAATGCAAGATCGAGAATAGAATAAAAGAATTTAATGAAGTTCTTCCAGATGACCTATGCTTCTCCTTGTGAAACGTACAATTTGGCGTCCATAATTTGGATACGCAAACTTAACATCACAAAACGTATCCACGTACCCAAAATGCCCCCATCTGCCCGACTTTCTTCACACTATCTCTTTCTGACTATCACATCAGTTCTAATAAAGGCTTGACAGGAACTCGATATTTGTGTTTTCGGAAATCTTGATTCAGGTTTAACTATAGGCTTGAATATGTGTACAAATTCGAGGCTTCACACTCGGAACACTATGTTGCCTTCATCTTAGTTAATCATATTTTATGCTGTATATGAATGTCAGCAAAAGCAGTGGTGCCCTATGAGGAAACGTGCTAGCAGAGAAAGTCGAAAAGGAGTTGGACGACGTCGCCCGGACCTTAACCCTGAACCATCACGACGTTTTGCCCAAGCTTTTCGCACTCGACCGTCAAGCCACGTGAGGTTACTGGTGCAAACCTCTATCAGGAATTTAGGCCTCGTATGGAGCAGTCGTACGTTTGTTCGTGGATCAAGTGACTCGGCCCAGCCTGTCAGTTGCTTCAACTTGGCTTGTGCCTGAATCAACCTCCTAGTTCCACGGCTTTTCGAGGTGTAGGGACGGAGGCTTTTTAGTGCAGGAGAGCTCAACTTTGGTTGTGAAACTTGCGCAGCCACCAAGGTCACTTCCGTGGATCATCTACGAACCGCCACGGTGAGATAAGAGGCAACATATTTGCAGCCTTGAAATCGCAGTCCCAAAAGTGTCGACACCCAGTTGAATAACGATATAAAGCACCTTCTCTTCCAACTTTTTGCCTGTTGGTGTTCATTTCGAAACCAAAACCAATCAACCGTTGCACAAGCAGCGCATCTATGTCCCGTAGCAACCCTGACCCCGGCACAAACCCAAAAGTCGACTACGCCCTATCACAGATCTCGCTAATCTTAGCTGCCCCAAAGATCTTCCCTGGATCTCACTGTTATCTCCCCTCGGCTACAATCCACGTGATCCGTTCCTCTGACCGTATTTCAGGTTATCCACCCACCCGCAAGTTGTCCCTTGTCTGGCCTGCATTATATTTAGCCGGCGTAATCCCCACTAACCTCCACCTATCAGCCGCGTGTTCTGCTTAACCACAAGTTCCATTTCTCGTCNCTATCTCTACCACTCCCAAGGTCCCAAAACTTCATAGTAGGTACGAAGAAACTTCCACACGGGCTCCTCAGAATGGTCATCCTACTCGACTAGCTTAAACTGGGAGTAACTCAGTCAAGGGGACATACAATATCATCGTCCAGAAATTTCATAAAACCAGTGTGTTATGCCTCCCAGGTAAACCGGTGCGCAGTCGAACGACCCATGAGCTGCATAGGGAGTTTTGATTTTCTCTAGGGACGACTAAACTATTCCTCAAAGGATAACCAGAAGTGTTTCACATAACACGTAAGCATTTTGTTGGAAGCAAAACAGCTGAGATCAGAAATCTGTCTATGGACAACATGAAGAGATGCCGTGATGCTGGGCTTCTCCGAAAGAAGCAAAATCTGCCGCTTGAGGTGACATGCTTCATGTAACTTGTGTAACATCCGTGGGGTATTTGCAAAAGAACGGCGAAATAATTCTCACGGATGACAAACGAACCAAGTAACAACGTAAAGTGTCACGTAAAATCCGTAGTGATGGCGCGTTGAAATACAATCTCGCAACAATCCAAGGGCATTGCAGCACTAAAATCAGTCCCGATGACTGACAAGCTCAAACTGATTCGATGAACTTGATCCTGCAGTCTCTACCTACTGACGAATCGTCCATCCCCGAAAATGACGCGCAGCCGAAAGGACTTACGGCTACTTCAAAGGATTCGGCGTCTTCTAAGAAAGAGCTTCAACCTATTTTTCTAAAACATTACTAAATGTGATACAGAAATGGTGGCCTTTTTATAAAGGCGTAACCGCTATAAATCAGAAATCGGCCAATTTAACGCACGACAACAAGATAGCATAATAGAACTTGCCTGTAAAAAACAGAAACGTGCCGTTAAGGTACGTGAGACACCGCCGGAGAAATAGGCTGAAAGCACTTTGGAGAGACGGAACCGAGGAACCACAAGTGACCCAACAGTGGTATCTGAAGTCTGTAGGGAATAATTTGCAGGCCTGTTTTCTGTCCTGGCAATCACGTCACATCAAAGCGTATCAAGGCATAAGTAAGTTCTGCCTCCAACAACATGTTGTTAAATTGGGAGGGCATTCAACAGCTCTTACGCGATACAAACCTCATCATCTCGTTGAAACCAGAGGAGGTCCATCAAAGTATCGTGAAAATAGTGTCACTGACATTGGTAAAGCACTTCCACCGGGTGTTTCGTCAGTCACTCAGTGAAGTTCACCCCTGCTCGGTAGCAGGCGATTGTCACGCCAATCTACAAAACCGTTGACCGATTATCGCCTGGTAGCTACAAGCCTATGAGTCTCACTAGCGTGCCTTTTAAAATGCTGGGACGCGTTCTGAAGCGAGCTATTCTAGACAACCTTACTTACAACTTGAACCTTCAACTCATGAATTTCTCCCAAACCTTCTCTGCTTGGCAAACAGTCTCGTATTTATGGAAAGCCAAACCTAAGCAAAGGACAAGGGACTCATAGAGGATGCCATATTTTCCGCTTTTTCAAAGTAGGCTGGACCTACTTTTCCTCGGCGCCGGTTCCATTGCAGTTTTTCAAGCCTCCGTTTCGGGACCACTGCTGTTTCTGACATACGCAGACATCATGCGGATAGACGCCAAAAGGGTGTCTGGCTCTCTTCAAGCATGTCCCCACTACACCATGAGAAATTGTCCCAGAAGACATTCATCGTTTAACGGACGACTGTGCGATCCCTCTCCTGTATTATTTGCATGGACTACCAAATACTCTATGGAGCCTACATCAGACGCTCCTTGAATATGCCAGGCAAGTTTTTACTCAGGACGCACAAGAACCGTAACACTCTTTGAGTGTGTCCAGCGAGCCGTTAGGAAAATGGTTGCCTGCCTCAAATCCGTGGACTATGAAACGCGTCCCACGGTGCTTGTCCTCTTTCCCCCGGAGTATCGTCGCCTCCGAGGAGACCTAAATCTTGCCCTGTTTGAACAAGGCTTGGTCAACGGGTTTTTACCGTTTACCCAGAAAACACACGGCGGAGATATGGTAGGAAGATTATCAAGCTCACAGCGCACGCACCCAGTAAGCAAATTTGTTCTCATTCCGGGTAGTAGCTGCTTGGATTGTCCACGCTCCTTCTAGAACCCAGTCCAGAGCACTGTTGGACACGTATTTATGCGAGTCCTCACGCTTGCAAACATACTTCCCCGAGCTGAGAGCATAAGAAGCAGTGCTACACCATTTTATCAATTGTGCCTTTCAGGTGAACGACAGCTGCTGATCACTCATACGGAACGACGGATGTCAAAATGCGTTTATGTACATTCCTTTCTCAGGATATAGAATCAATGTTGTTCCCCTTTATATCACGTATTTATATCATGTACTTAATGGCTGGCTTCAGAAACGATCTCCTCATGTTGCAGTTCACACTGTTTGGCTTCGACGATGGAAGGTGTTTGGAATCTTGGGTGAAAGCCCCGAACCTGTCTACCAATCCGTGATTCCGTGACCTTGAATTATTGACCTTGATTGTCCCTGGTGCGTTCAACCGGCAGTTGCAAGCAAGGAGGATGACCGCGGATGTCGTCAAGTCAATGGTAATTTGGTCCGCTTCATATATTGATTTCGCTTAGCAGGGCTCGGACGTACGAACGCTCAAACCTACTGGTCGGGTTGGGTTTGACAGCATACCTGACCAGCTGGTAAACAAGGCCATCAGTCAAGGTTTTGCCTTCAATATCCTCTGTGTTGGTAAGGCGCATTGTTGTTAACCAGCGTTTTTCAGGAGAGACAGGAATTGGAAAGTCTACACTTGTTGAGACTCTTTTCAATCAGAAGTTCAACTTCCTTCCATCATCACATGATCTGCCAAGTCCGAAACTCAAAGAGACGACCTACGGTATTCATCTATCTGTGGTTAATATTTTCAGAGTTGAAAGAGAAAAACGTAAAATTGAAGCTATCAGTCGTGGAAACGTGTGGATTCGGCGACCAAATCAATAAAGAAGAAAAGTTTGTTTCTCCCTTGTGAAATTGACCAAAACTTCGTAGTGTGAAACCTGTGGTTGAGTATGTGAACGGGCAGTTTGAAAAATATCTTCAAGAGGAATTGAAAATGAAACGTAGTATTCAAACCTTCCATGATACCCGGGTTCATGTTTGCCTCTACTTTATTCCTCCTACTGGCCACAGGTATGCCGTTCATTAGATGTTCATTGAAATCATCGGGCTTTGATGTAGAATATGTGGGTCGTAAAGTTTCTGTAAGCCTAATGTCGCTTGCAAGTTAGTCATCCACCGTCTCCTTAGAAAAAGGTTCACTCACTGTTGGGAGTGATTGAGATGAACTACCCTCGTCACGGGTTCTTCCTCATGTAAAGCATGCAGTTCGCACCGAAGCATCCCTGTGATTAACGTCCGCCTTAAATTCTTAATTACTGTGGTACTATTTACAAACCTGGTAAACCTGTCTTGGAACTAGTGTCTGCAAGCGTATCTTACGGCACTAAATCTGGTTCCTGTGGAATTACATACATAATTTGAAACATCGATGCCGACTCCGACCAACTCGGGGTGACGCTAACCAGAGTCCATCTTGTTTGTTTGATTACTTGAGTCTATTTATCCCCGTGCGGGAAGCCCTAGACAAAGAAACTTCACTGCGAGCCTCAGCAGGGAATCTGACGACCACGTGACGGCACCAGAGAGAGGTTGGAATTGCATGCTTATTTAACCAAGGTAAGCAGTCACAGGCCAAAGCCGAGATTGAAAGGATATCTGAACAAGTACTTAGGTGGAATAGAGAAGCACGCGCAATGATGCCTTGAGGTATAGCATAAGGAAGTGGCGCCGAATGCTACTAGACACCAGGATATTGAAGAAACTGCATGAAAAACGTCAAATCGCTACCTTCCATAATGACTGTCAGGCGCCACTGCCCAAGTCCAGTACTCAGTAGTTCGAATTTGTAACCACCGCTGCAGAGGTTGGACAAGATGAACTAAACGATTTGCCCTTTCCACATCTTCCATCTTAGTCCTTCCAGTAATCCTTTGTGTATGATGGTGACACTGGAGCATCGATTCATACTGCAATCCTCGCAACGCATCTGGACAGAGTAGATGGCGTCCGGAACTTGTCCGAACCAACCGAAAACGTACATAAACCCACCAAACGTTGTGTGCTGTGAATAAATCACACCTAGGACCTCTGCTGCATAAGTGCGAAGATGGGAATTTATTCTTCGATCGAGTTCCCTAAAACCATTAATAACTATGACTAGTAGTGAACAGGCATTGGGAGTGTCGCACTCACTTTGGCGTTCTGCCCTCGCGTCTCCAACACGACCTCGGGAATCAACACTGCGCAACACCCAATATAGCCTATAGGTCTAAAAATTACAGTATTGGAAGTAGGAATTTTCCCGCTGAGATTTTGTCCTGCAAGTGGAGTCAGTCAATGCCGAAAAGCCGCCGTACAGTTTTTTCATCCTTATTGGAGATCAGCAGTGCGCATCTCATGAAACGTTATGGGGTTTCGAGCCTCCCGGTTAGTGGCTTGAAGACTCAACCGCTCACCCACAATCGTCTGCTCAGCACCGTGGTTAACTTGCACGTAGATAAAAAGTCATGAGTCCGGAACCCCCTGGAGTTTCGTAAGAAGCGCACTGCTGATGATCCACAACAAGAACGAAATAGGTATGTAGTGCTTCTCGGTTTTTCAGCGTAGATCTCCTTTACCTGCAGGGTGAACTAACCAAAAATCGCCAAAACGCGTACTGTAAGTAGTTCAAAGGTAGAGAAATTTTACAAGGTACGTGGAGCTTGGAGCTTGCAAGGCGTCGCTTAAAGAGTCACTTGATTTCGTTCACGCTGTTGAATTTCGTTCACGCGGTTGAAGAATGAGTGGCGCTATATCTTCCTCAAGTGCGAATCGCTCACATTGATGATCAACCACTTATGGCTGAACGGTTAATTTCTCAAACTGCTAGCCAGGAAGTCGCGGGTCCGAGACTCCTTGGATCTACGTGAGGTAGGGGGACAAGATGGCTCAATGGTCAGCGCGAATTTTCTGACCGAAAGTCCGTTCGTACCGGACTTCTGCGTCTAGACTTCTGTCTAGGTTTGGGCAACCTAGCAGTATCCCAGCCCTTGTGCTTTCTTCGGGTGGTTTGGCAGCTAGACACCGAAAAGGTGTTGCAGCTGAACGACTCGTTTATTATCTATACTTGAACTATGCATTGTTGATGGTCCCCAATAAGGATCAAACACTTGTTTGCAGCTTTTCAGTACAGATCGAAATCTCAATCGAAGGTTAGCAAATCTCACATACCGTCAGTAGCGATTCAGCTGCAACACTCTTCGGTGCCTATCTGTCATGCCACCCGAAGGAAACATGAGGGCTGTGATATTGCCATGTAGCCCAAGCCTAGACAGGAGCAGTCGATATGCCATGGTTAGATTCGAACCACGGACCTTCCTGTTGGCATGTTCGAGCCCTAACCAGTGAGCTTTTTCGAGTTTGGTGCAAGAATCGGTGTCGTATATTTCGGTGCACTGGTGAGATTTCTGCTTCCGAACTTCAGCTTACCAGTGTCGACGATGGTGCGAGAGTTTACTTGCAATGTTGGTAGCTTGAACGCTGAAAATTTCCACCCAGAAAGGATATCTCCAAACATGGAGCCATAGTCTGTTGTGTGACGTTGCTGTCTGTCTTACATTTGAGTCTCCTGAAAATATGATTGATTTCGGTGACGATCAGTTCACGAGCCCCACTTACCGAGGTGAAATCAAATGGTTAAGAAACAACCACTATGGGGACAAGAATTGTCCGACTGGTTGACAACTCAGAACGCTTCTGTTGCGGAATGGATGAACATATCATTCATTAACAAATTGCTCCGTTGAGTTCACCAAGGCGGTGTTATTCCCACACAACAGGACCAGTCGATTTACGTGACGTAAAATTTCATTCAAATGGAAATCACTGTCCCTCATCAACATCAGCACTTTCAAAAACTGTCTCCATCATCGGTTCACCACAATCAAATTTTCGTTTGCTCTGACGACTGATATTACGTACGGTCTGTTTCCTCGCTAGTGTTACGATGTGGTTTTGTAGTAGGTGGCGAACTCACTTGCCCCACACCAAAGGACACGTCTCGTCCTTTTGCGAGGTGTTACTCGTGATTGATGACACCCGCTTCGTGGAGGTCCAACAATTTAACCTCGAGTTGTGACGTCTTGAAGTATTACTACCGTAAGTACGGCGCTGTTAGGATACATCATGAGAACTCGAAATCGTTGTAGGTAAAGTGAGAATGGTCACAAACAGACGGTCTCAGAAAGCACACTTGCTGTTTATCTGTGGCAAAGACTTTCATTGGAGGGAGAAATTCCACTGAATGTGCATGAAGCTGACGGGAATGTGTGATTCGAAAAAGGGCAAAGTTATAAACTTTCCTCGAATTTATTCTCGCAGTAGTGCAGCGACTATCATTAATAGTGCACTCATTGAGAATTTCACCAATTTTTTCTGCTATCCACAAGAGTTCGATGTTCGGCGGCAGTGGAACCGAGTAGGTAAACCAGTATGGTAGCAGGTATCCCATCGCCTGGTGTGATACACAACTATTCGCAGTAATATTGATATTGGTAAAATGGGCTGCAGAAGCCTTTGGACCACTGTTATATCCGGTGCAGGAAAAAGGATATAAAAGCTGTCTAAGTGGCCCCATAAGTAAGATATAGAACTATTTTATCATGGTCACATAGGTGTGCAGACTTGTGACCACAACCTATTTAAAAGGATTTCGCTTATTCAAATTTTTTTCTTGTGCTTTACTGGGTGCGAGAAGTTGTGAGTTGCGCAGACTGCGTTTTTCATACGATTCACGGTTGGTTACACCCTCGGGGGCCACACGACCAACACACAGCAGAAACGCAACATTCAACCGCTTTTCGCTGGTCGGAAAATGGGACTCAGGAGGTAACTCAACTACCGCACTGTTCAGTAACTGGTGACTTATCACCAATTTATTGTGTTTGAGCCCCGGAAATTTGAACTGATTTGCGGCTCCCAGCAATCTTCCATGTCGTTGCCATCCGTTCGACTTCTTCGTGGAAGACCAAATCCACAGGATCCAGTAGAAACAACGTGATCGTTTCGATCAACATTAGGTCAGGCTTTGTTAAACCAACATGTCAGCCATCCACCTGCTTATGGAACTCAGCGTTTTCTCCAGGTTGTCCATGTGATATATATGTACTATATAGCCTCTTCTGGTCACGAAGGACGTATACAAGCACTAGTCTATGCAGTCCTATTGATCCGGAATAGGGTTAATGAACACCATGGTTGAACAGTCAGTCACCTCACTGCCTCAAACACTTCAAGCCATCAAATCTCTTCCATCCATAAGAGCTAGGCCTCGCAACTGTCAGGTCGGACGGGGATAGTAGCAACTTACTTTTGCAAAGGTTTGAGCATCTCTGTCCGAAACCCATTAGGCGAAGGGTTTCCGAAGGCGTGTATGTTGTATCCGTACGGCTGACACATCCACATATATTGGTCTAAGGGCTTTGGAAGACAAGGTAAATAACTGGCGGGCAGTCGTTTAGATTAACAAGTATTTAGTTCTCCACTTCCTGAGGTACGCGTCACTAGGTTCATCATCGCCATCATCGACATGACATCAGTGTGTAACCTTCCATACGCCGAGTCGAGACTACCTGTTGTCTAATCACCCTCTGAGTGTGCCATTGTTATATGAAATAATGATAAAGCCTAGGCGTGGGTGCAACAGTATGGGGGCAGTCGAGTGGTACGAGGATCTGCGAAAGTATTTTTTCGCCAGTTATACGTGTGGTTCTGAGTTTATATGTTGGTCAGGAATTCCGAATGTCATATCGCTTGTACCGTACTGTCACTGTGATGCCTTCTGGCCTAAACCGAAGAAGAGGGTTGAGTTAGACCCTGCGCATCCGCATTTAGGAACCAAAAGTAATTTGCACGTCCGTTGTTGGTTTGGTGTCTCTTCATCAGCGATTCGTGGTTTCTACAGTTCACCCGGACAGACAACTAGTGGTCTGTTGGCTCGATCAAAACTCACGCACCTTGGCCGTCATCTGTCTCAGAGGCTAATCGCCCGAAAGTTAGAGTAGAATAAGTTGGTATCTGTTAGTGCTTGCCGATTTTGATGCCCTTGAACAATTACGAGGAAAGTCATTTGGTCCTATTCTAGAAGGTGGACAGCAAAGACCTGCATCCTGAGATTCCACATGCTCTTCACCCTTTGAACAAGCCATATTTTCCTCACCCCTTGATTTTCACTACTGAATTTGCCTTAGAAACCCGTACTCCTGATAAGTCCTCTAGCAGGTAACCGAGCCGCTGTAGCTTATAATGCTGTGTGCGCTTCACAAATGAGTACGGCAATGGTTCCTTGACAGTTGGATAAAGACGCTTCAGATCCTCTACCCCTTAAGGTCAAGTCTCGCGACGACGTATCTGCCCAGTACTCAGATGCAAATGACCAAGTGATCAAAAAGTTGGTCTCTCGAATGCCACAAATGGCGAATTGGCGAATGCATACGCAGCACATGCCGAAGAATGAAGTTACTGGTCGACTTTTCTATGGATACACGCCCTTCTTCGGAACTATGGACGATATTGTCCGTATATTCCCGATCGACAGGATCCTCATCCCACACCGAGATTTTGGAGACCTTCAATCGTCCTATTTATTATCTCGTCAATTACGAAACTAAACAGCAACGGAGAGCTGGACACTATCGAACACCACTGCCCCTTAAAAGCTTTTTTAGAGCCCATGCACTTTCACATTCATAATTCTGCCTGGTATCTGTGAACCTCTGCAGCGCGCCTTAGTGCATAGGCGTGCCTAGAACAACAAATCGTTCAGCAGAATCAAGGAATACCAATGCCCTGGGTTTTCGATGTATATGCTGTGACTCTTGACAGAGTTTGCGGGTGTTTTAAGCAGCCTTTTCGTGGTCGGAATTCTACTTATCCCTCCAGTTCCATTGTGCTATTGGAAGACGACGAACGATCAGCGTTGATAAGCTTATTGCAACGTGACCAAGTTGTTACTTCTGTGGTTGCAACAATCACCGTTTACATCATTTTCGATTTTCTCTGGCAGAGAAGCAAATAAGTAGGATAATTCTCCATTGACGACTTTACTCTATTCTGTAATAAAGCCAATGGAGGCTCTGGGGATAGTAACTCAGCCTCATAGACACTAGATTCCATACATCAGTAAGTTAGTTTGAATGACTGAGAAGGACATTCGGCTAAAATTTGGTTTCCTGCTAATTTGAGATCAGTTATATGGTAATCGCAGTCCTCTTATCAGCCATACCTAGTAAACACTAGATCATTTGTTACTGTAGCTTCTATCTTCCGCTACCTACCATTTGTTTCTAATCACCCTACTTGCATTCCTTGTTCATTCCATGGCAGCCTCAAGTCGATTGACGTTGTTGCGATGAAAGCCCTGGAAAACAAAGTTAATATTGTTCCAGTGATAGCCAAATCGGACACTGTAACAAAAGCTGAAATGCAGAAATTCAAGGCAAAGGTACATGGCTCTCTAAATTCTGCTAGCCTTGTGAACCATTTCAGATTTTATCCGAGATACAATCCAATGAAATTAACATCTATCAATTTCCTACGGACGACGAATATGTCAGTGAACTTAATGCCAAAATGAACGTAAGTTACTTCTGATGCTTTGTGGTTTATGCCCCACTTCCGGAATTCTTTAGCGTCTTGATGAAACGGCATTAGGTTTGCATATATATATATATATATATATATATGCTTCAAGGACTTCACCTGTTATCTTGTAGTAGTAATGGTGGTTGTACTCCAGAGTTTAACCGCGCCACGCCCACTGACTACGAAGCCTACGAGTGCGCTGGATTACACTGTCAAATTCGGAGATAAGTTATTTGCGATCCTTCTCCGAATTCAAGCTGTCGGACAGGGATGTGAAGTTGCCATTAGCTGCAAGCAATATTTCATCCCAGTTCGCCCTAACAAGCCGAAGGAAAATGACATAATATATGCTGTTCAGCTGATTCCACTGCAACGTTTAGATTTCACTATGTTTGTCCGATGAGGTGTTTGGAGATGTGAGCAGCTTGAGCGTTTGGCAGACTAGCATTAGGTCTTTCTCGATTCCATTATGTTTTGCCTTTTTCGGAACATCACAGTACAGTCGATGCGGCTAACAATAATAATATGGATTTCGCCCTTCTCTTTATAGTTACTCGGGGGTCACTAGCTGGATGGTTAGGGTATAGGTCTTGGGCTCGAATCCATCCTGACTACTCGATTACTCTTGTCTAGGTTTGTGCAAGTTTGCTTTCTCAGCCCTTCTGCTTCTGCATTTGAGTGGGCATTTTGAGGGTGCCACCCCCAATGCAGTTGGAGTTTGCGTCTGAAGATACACCAGTTGCATTTGCACGTCAATGTCTGGCTCCCAAACCCGCCATGTTGATAACCGCCAGATACCGATTTTTAACTGATATACAACAGTTATTTAAACAAGGAGCTGTTTACAGTAGATTAGGAGATAAGGGTTTCAAGTACCGACCTATCACGGATGTTCTGGCGTCCGTACGCAGAGTAAATAAGCTTTAGTTCGTTGTCGGGAGCGCTTACGTTCCATCGCATGAAGCATGGAACAGACTCACTTTGGGTTCGTAATTGTTTCAGACTCCAAATGTGTTCATGTTTTTCGGCCGTCAGTGCGGTCTTTTCCAACTAAGTGGACTGTGGCTATTAGTACACTCACCATCAGAAGTCATGAAATTAATCATTGGGATTTTTGTGCAAATTATGGTTAAAGCTTATATTTTCATGGTTGTTGCTTTTGCTTCTTCTGGGACGGTCTCTGGTTCGCTACGTTGTGCCGTAAACGTAGATGTTGTTGGTACCGCGGGTCGCATCATTTCGTTTTAGTCCGCCATAAAAGGTGCGGAAGTGTCGCTTCATATCTGTGGTTCTCAAGCAGCGTATATGCAGTTTACTAGAACGCAGATTGACGACCACTTTAGAGGTATCCGTCGTCAGAGAGTTCTTGCGTGTTTGATTGCTCATGCTTCGTATAGACGAAAGCTCTTCCGTAAACGCACGCGCTACTGCTAGCCAGCAGGCCCCATCGTTTAAGGATGCCTGATTGACGGATGCTACGTTGGTCGCTGGTCCAATGGAACGTCAGTGTGACAAATTAGCATACAAACAGACTGTTAGTTTCCATAAAGGAAACTACTCACAAGGTTGCTGAAAACTCTTCGACAGCCCACGACCGATTTCGCCCTTCTTGGAGCTCATCAGGTAGGCACAGTCCCCGAGTTTCCGTCAACCTTATGATCTACTTGAACCCAAATTGCACCGTTTTCGAGAAATACACTAATTTGCAAATCAATTTGGTTTTCACGGGAGACCCAATTGAATCTCTCGTTTATGATGTCCTCCAGCTGAATGTGCTGCACACAGGCCGCCTCATGATTCAGTTGGCACGATATTCGAGATATCGCAGTATATTTTCATAAAGGAAGTTGTATCGCCTAACGTGTACCTTGAGTGGACATCAGACTACTTAGTTTCTTGGATATCGCTGTTTTCTTACTACTCGTTCGCATGTCCCGCCTAAGAAGTGCATACTGCAGTGCCTTTATTGTGGTAAGTCCTTAGTTTTCGGGAGGCTAACAGATCGTACTCTCATCTGCTTTTTTTCCGTATATCTCTATGGGTGTCTTCTAACCCCTTGATTTATCTGCATAACCGCCTGCTTTGGTGTATATTGGTTTGCGTTGTGAGGTGGTTGTTGATTTTACTTTGCCTGTCTCGTGCGTGCAGCAATTTGTCCCGTTCGCTGTGGTTGGTAGTTCGGAGGAGATGAAGATCGATGGGAAACCGATGCGTGTTCGCCAATATCCATGGGGTGCGGTTCAAGTGGAAAATGAACTCCACTGTGACTTTGTGCGACTGCGCGAAATGTTGCTGCGTGTGAACATGGAGGATTTGCGCGAACGTACGCACACAGTGCATTATGAAACGTATCGTCGTCAGCGTTTGCTGGAAATGGGCTTCCGGGATGACGAGAAGATGAGCTTGCAGGTTCGTCCACAATTTTTAGCATTACATCAGTGTTTTGGTTCTAGCTGAGTTCTTTTCCGTTTCTCTCCATAACTTCAGTCCTTCCATCCCATTTCTGGTAAACCTGTCTTGAATTTCTATTGTTCAATGATGTTTCTTACTTCACACCCAAGACTTCCTATTTAGCAGAGATCTCAACAACATAACACCTGAGCTGTGAAAATTTTATTCACTAATGGAACTCCTAGATACTAGTGAATTGTGTTGGAATCTATTCCCGTTCTTGGTTGCGATTATTCCGGTCTACCCATACTATGAAAATCGTGGATGTTTCTTACTTCACACCCAAGACTTCCTATTTAGCAGAGATCTCAACAACATAACACCTGAGCTGTGAAAATTTTATTCACTAATGGAACTCCTAGATACTAGTGAATTGTGTTGGAATCTATTCCCGTTCTTGGTTGCGATTATTCCGGTCTATACTTACTATGAAAATCGTGCGGCTGTAACAGAACACACTTCCGGTGCAGTTGAGATTGGATTCGAACAACAGACTATCTGGTCAGTAAGTTCGCGTCCTAATCACTGAGCTATCTCGAGTTAAATCCATATTGAAGGATTGCAAAGTCGGACTCGAGTTTCGCTCCGGCCCATCGGGGGTAAGATCGTGAGTCGTACACTGGACCCGGAGTTACACAGAATGAATGGTGTAAACGCAAATTAACACGCAAAGAACAACCAGCCCATTTGTTTCCCTCCTATCGATCAGAAACATGGCCTCTGCGCACAGACGACGTGCGAAAGATATCAGTTTTGACCATCGATGTATCCCAAGCATCGGTCGACTCTGATCGGTACATCGAATCAGCAATGCTGAGGCACGCTAGGTGGTTTTAGGGAAATCGAACTTTCCTGCGCTCATCAGGTAGGCACAGTCCCCGAGTTTCCGTCAACCTTATGATCTACTTGAACCCAAATTGCACCGTTTTCGAGAAATACACTAATTTGCAAATCAATTTGGTTTTCACGGGAGACCCAATTGAATCTCTCGCTTATGATGTCCTCCAGCTGAATGTGCTGCACACAGGCCGCCTCATGATTCAGTTGGCACGATATTCGAGATATCGCAGTATATTTTCATAAAGGAAGTTGTATCGCCTAACGTGTACCTTGAGTGGACATCAGACTACTTAGTTTCTTGGATATCGCTGTTTTCTTACTACTCGTTCGCATGTCCCGCCTAAGAAGTGCATACTGCAGTGGCTTTATTGTGGTAAGTCCCTAGTTTTCGGGAGGCTAACAGATCGTACTCTCATCTGCTTTTTTTCCGTATATCTCTATGGGTGTCTTCTAACCCCTTGATTTATCTGCATAACCGCCTGCTTTGGTGTATATTGGTTTGCGTTGTGAGGTGGTTGTTGATTTTACTTTGCCTGTCTCGTGCGTGCAGCAATTTGTCCCGTTCGCTGTGGTTGGTAGTTCGGAGGAGATGAAGATCGATGGGAAACCGATGCGTGTTCGCCAATATCCATGGGGTGCGGTTCAAGTGGAAAATGAACTCCACTGTGACTTTGTGCGACTGCGCGAAATGTTGCTGCGTGTGAACATGGAGGATTTGCGCGAACGTACGCACACAGTGCATTATGAAACGTATCGTCGTCAGCGTTTGCTGGAAATGGGCTTCCGGGATGACGAGAAGATGAGCTTGCAGGTTCGTCCACAATTTTTAGCATTACATCAGTGTTTTGGTTCTAGCTGAGTTCTTTTCCGTTTCTCTCCATAACTTCAGTCCTTCCATCCCATTTCTGGTAAACCTGTCTTGAATTTCTATTGTTCAATGATGTTTCTTACTTCACACCCAAGACTTCCTATTTAGCAGAGATCTCAACAACATAACACCTGAGCTGTGAAAATTTTATTCACTAATGGAACTCCTAGATACTAGTGAATTGTGTTGGAATCTATTCCCGTTCTTGGTTGCGATTATTCCGGTCTACCCATACTATGAAAATCGTGCGGCTGTAACAGAACACACTTCCGGTGCAGTTGAGATTGGATTCGAACAACAGACTATCTGGTCAGTAAGTTCGCGTCCTAATCACTGAGCTATCTCGAGTTAAATCCATATTGAAGGATTGCAAAGTCGGACTCGAGTTTCGCTCCGGCCCATCGGGGGTAAGATCGTGAGTCGTACACTGGACTCGGAGTTACACGGAATGAGTGGTGTAAACGCAAATTAATACGCTAAAACAATCAGCCCATTTGTTTCCCTCCTATCGATCAGAAACATGGCCTCTGCGCACAGACGACATGCGAAAGATATCAGTTTTGACCATCGATGTATCCCAAGCATCGGTCGACTCTGATCGGTACATCGAATCAGCAATGCTGAGGCACGCTAGGTGGTTTTAGGGAAATCGAACTTTCCTGCAATAGGTGAATGACGCTCCATAGGTTACGCTGGTTAGGACATGTACTCCGCATGCCAGAAGAACGTCTCACTCACAGAGCTTTTTTCACCCATCCCTGTACTGAGTGGAAGCGACCAAGAGGTGGGCAGTGTAGGAACTTGCAACGAATTAAACACTAACCACTCCGCATGCCAGAAGAACGTCGGCCTCACAGAGCTTTTTTCACCCATCCCTGTACTGAGTGGAAGCGACCAAGAGGTGGGCAGTGTAGGAACTTGCAACGAATTATGGAAACACTAACCAGTAAATTGAGTGCGGTCGACAGCTACCGCCTCCCTCGTTGGGACCCGCGGAACCCAACTCACCAATGATCAATCACACCGGCAGAACTGGCCCATTCGCGCAGTCAATGGCGCTCGTGCAAAGCTTCAGTGCGTAGCTACTAGTAGTGCGTAGTTTCCGTATCAACTGGACATGCCATTGCCTCCAATGCTTCGTTGTATATCCCACTTTCTGGTGATCGAAACTGTGGAAGCTAGGACTACTGTGGCCATGGTACATGGCTTATAGCTGATAAATTTGGTTTCCCTAAACACAGCTGCAATCTAGCATTTCGAGTTCTCATGTTACTCTCTTACTAGTGGACCGACATGAATCGACAGATTTATCTCATATTCTGGTATCAGGGCAGATACCACTTCCCTGTCAACGGTTCTAGTGGGGCGTGAAAGTCAGGGATTCAGTCACTACTGATTGTTGCCAGTAAATTGCAGGTTCCAATTGTCTGTCGTTGTGCTGGGCTTCTGTTGCGTATGTTGGTTTCGCACAGGACGTTGGAATGACCTTGCTGATACCATCATGCTCCAACGTGATGCTCAGAAATATTTATCTCAATGGCTTTAAAAGGTATGGGCACCTCGGCCTTGGACATTTTTCTAGTGACATTTGGCTTTTTAGAATAGATCCCTACGTATGCTCTTCCTCATCCCCTCTTTGCTGGAGCGTTTTTACTTCATGAGTATATGGCAGTTAAGTGCTGGTTACCACAGCTGGTGTATCGTCATCTATGGTGGTGGATGTGTTCAACTGCATCACCTTCTCAGTGCGTAGCTGCAATGAAACCCGGAAACAAACACGAAGGACGTGATACTGTTTGCTTTCTCAAGCTCAGACAGATGCCGTCGAAAATTGGGACTGGTTCGAACCGCCGGTCTTTCGGCCCGTTACCTCACATTCTAACCACTGACCTGGATCAAGTTCGGATTTTGAGGTTTTTCTCGATCTTCTGAACTTTTTGATCCACGAGCTAGTTTCGACCTTTGCATCCGTGTCCTTCTAGGGTTGTACGCCTTTTCTTATTTGTGCAAAGTATTCTGCACGGGACAAATCGATTTATTCACCTTTTTGTTTACAAGCAGCACTTCCGTCCTCCCTACCCCCACACTTTCGTGTGGATCTTTTCTTTTCTCCTGCTGTCGCGTTTTATTGATGAATCATCCATTCTACCAACTAGTGTCGTGTTCGGTTTGGGCACAGCCAAAGGATCGGCACGTTATTGCGAGTCTGCAACTGCCTGTGACATCGTTTAGACTCTGGTAGTGTCGTTTTTTATCCGGTGTGGAATGGAGCGTTTTTCCCCTTTATAAGACTGGTTCTTTATCTCACGTAATGACACGTTCGTTTTTCTTCTTTTTGAATGATTTTGTTCTCATCAGTGAGATGTCTTTTTTTGCCTCATTTAGTCTTCAAAGGTGATGCGGATATTGACCAAGTCCTGTCTATTACGTTTCACATCCTGGTGTATATCGCTCCCTTAACGTAGAGTCAGCCAGTTTTTTTTCATGAAATCTGTGGGAGATGGTTAGTCCCCATGTGATGTTTATCACATCTGGACCGCACTCGTTTCAAAATGGGGTATCGCGTTTCAGCCAACTTTTTTCGCTCTTGTCTGATCTGCCTAGTTATGGAGTAGTTCTAGCACTGGAACTAAATAGTGGAACAATGTGGGTTGGATTACTAATACCAGTGCAGAAATGAGCCTTGTGTGAGTTTTCCGTGCTGGAGATAAGTACTAGGTTGTTTGCGTCACAAACTATTCACACCGGTCTTCTGTATCACTTGGTGGGCAGAACTACTCTTGTGTAGCACAAGCATACACGGTCGAAATGGTAATCAGTTTCAGGTGTTCTGTCTGAGTTCAAGTGTGTAACGTGTGTTTACGCCGGCATGTGTCCTACACGAGTTGTAAGTGCAGAGGTAGCGTGCTTAGGATTTTTCGCTCTTATCGATCAAATTCTTTTGTAAGAGAATTATATGGCATGCCACCTGTTCTAAACAGGGGTAAACCCACTGTTTTCCCAGTAGTGGTGGTTGTAACTAGTCAACGAGTCGTGCCGTTGTGGCCTGCGCTTGCTCATGTAACTACTTCCCTTATTGCTTATCCGTCTTTGTTTGTTATCGGATGTGGCGATTTAGCAGAATGCGAAATTCGAGCATACCATCCATTTTTTGGCCAGATTAGTCACCCTGATGAGGTAATTTTGATAAGCGAACAGAACATTTACTTAGAAACATATCGACGCACCAGCTTGAAGCAAGTGTTTCCGGCTGAAAATCAGGATAAATAATTTCGAAAGACTGCTCGCATGCCGAGCGCATTCTTTCAATTGACTTCTTACACGACAGCCGGAGAAACTATGGGATAATTCATCCCATCAGGTGGATGAAAATAAACCTGGTGTGGTTAGATAAGATGTCTAGCCTGGACGGATCACGACGGCATTTCTAGTCAAAGATCGTTACATAAAAAACGGTATGCGCCCAACTCAAGGTAAGCTGATCGGGTCAGGTAAAACTGACGCGATCTCGGGAAAACAACCACTGTTGGGTAATCTATGGGATGTTAAAGTACCCCAGGTCACATTTGTGTACACGCCTTGTGAAATTGTTTGGAGGTATCAGATTTAAATCTGTCTGTGGTCGCCGGCTTCAGTAGTGCTCCGACGCCTTACCTTGGTAAGTGGGACCTACATTTGAAAGCATCAGGGAGGATTTCTTCGGATAGGGGATATGTTACTCCTATCTTAACAATAGGTTAAGTGCCTGAACAGCACCACACGTACCGGTGACCAACACGTGTAGCTTAGAGCAATGCACCTTTTAAACCGATGCCAATTGCCATCATCCGCGTTGAGCTACTTTAAGCCGATATAATGATTTGTACTTTTTTTTATTGTTTCACTGCTATTTATTTTACTGTTTTCAAACGAATGAAGGAGACTTATGAGAAGCGACGTGAGCTGCAGAGAAAAGAACTGCAACAAAAGGAGGAAGAAATGCGTCAGCTGTTTGTTCAACGTGTGAAAGAGAAGGAACAAGTTCTCAAGGAAGCTGAACGAGAGGTATGTTTATACTGGTTAACCGTTTTACCTATTCCTGCTGAAAGTCCAAGAACTGCATGAGGTTAATACAAACGTGCACATGTTGGTTGAAACGGTCGATTCCGTGTCGTATGTCACTTGGAATGAGTAGTATGATGTCGACGAGGTCTCCGTTCATAGGCAATGGCTAGCAGTCACATTACTTCCAACAAAACTCCCAATAATTTTACCTATTCCAAGAACTGCATGAGGTTAATACAAACATGCACATGTTGGTTGAAACGGTCGATTCCGTGTCGTATGTCACCTGAAATGAGTAGTATGATGTCGACGAGGTCTCCGTTCATAGGCAATGGCTAGCAGTCACATTACTTCCAACAAAACCTCCCAATAAGAGGCATTCATGGGAAATAATCAAATACATCTTTTTGGTAATTTTCGTCGGCGCTCACAGCTCTGTGCACACTGATATGTCGCACCTTAAAATATCGCACTACGCATGTCACCGTTTCTCATGATTACCCACATTCTTACAGAATACGCTCCAATAAATACTGTTGGGATTATACACCCGTATGTCACGCCTATCATCTTCAGACAGTTGAGCACTAAATTTAGGTCTTTTCGGTTCCACAATTTCAGACTGTGTTTTAGAGTCGCACGGACTTATTAAATGAGTTAACTCAATTGAAGAGTTCTCATCAATGATCCCGAATACCAAATAGTGTTCCTTCCAAAAGTGTCCGCGTTGCCCATCGTCACAAGCAAAAGAAGGCCAAGTTTATAGGAATCCAAGACTTCAGTGGAAGACCAGTGAAACGGAACACTGCCCCATCCGCATTAGTATGAGGCTGACACAAGTCGGATCAAGCTATATATTATTTCAGCCTAGTTACTTACGTACATCGGAACTCCGTGCGGTTCGCTAACGATCTGGGCCAGTGGGTCATCCGGTGCGTACACAATACCTTTGTTTGGCAGCGAATCTATCGGCATTACATACCGCGGGCTTTAGAAGTGCCCTCTCCTTTTACCCCCTGTCCAAACAGGCTAAATTTCGCCCGTGTCGGTCCGAATACTACATAAATTAAGTACCCTGATCATTCAGTTGTAGCACCCTTTCGGTGCCTAGCTACCACGAAGGAGGCACGAGGGCTGGGATACTGCCAGGTTGCCCAAGCCTAGACGGGAAGTCGAGCAGCAGAAGTCGGGTTTGAACCACGGACCTTCCGGTTAGTAAATTCGCGCTTTAACCACTTGGTCCATCTGGCCCCCTGATGCGCCGAGCAAATCCAGAAATGGCTGTCACCCTCCCCCCCCCACACCCCAATACCTTGAATCTCAGTACAAAACTAATGTTCCCCCGTAAAAAAACCACTAACTTAACTATCTACTGATTGGACTCACTAAGCTTATGGCATAATCATTTTCGCGTTATCTAACCTCATATTGATTGTACTCCCCTAAAACTAGCTGCTGGAGCGTGCAAAGTGCTCCCTAATAATCAACCATGATTAAGCCATTTAGCCGACTAGCTACGTCAAGTGGCTTGCAGACGGACTTTGGAGGCGGGTGATGTTCGTACATCGAGGCCCAGCAAAATGATCATTGTATATTATTTATGATGAGCAGTGAGTGCATCCTCTGAGTAGCACTACCGGAGTGTTGGCTACAGAAATCGTCTATTTAGCGATCCTGGTGAACATTTGAGCTTCGTGCGCGCGTCACACTAAATAGGTAAGGCACATCTCATGGGTGTAGTCAATTTCGCACATTTAAGTGCGACATAACCGATGCAAACAGGGTACGTTAGCGACTAACGTGCTGGTGCACCTGTTTCATCGCCTTTCCGTTGAAGGCCGGAGATAGATAAGTCTGATGGGGGTCAGTCAGACGTATGGTACTGTATGTTTGCTGCATGCCATCGAAAGGACGCGCTGGGCAATTAGAGTGACAAATGGGATAAGTTCACGTGTTTCAAACTATCTATGCGAGTTTGGCACAACTTTCGTCGCCCGTTCAATTTATTGTCTTTTTCTGGTCTATCCTTATTCACACTTGCAATTATCACGCGCGTTCAACAGTTTAACCTAAATATTTCAACAAATTGTCAGCTCTCTCACGTGTCATGACCTTTTGAACGTTTGCAAAGACTACCTGATAATCCACTCATAAAATATCGCAGAAGGGACTGGTGAGTTGTGACCGAAGTTTACGTGCGCAAGATTTGGGCTCTTCTCACTCCTACACCTAACACTGACCGATGTCGTAACATACAAATCCTTACGGCGACCACAGACAAAGTACTCGCTTGAATTTCTGTACGTTTCTAGTTTAGCGCGTTTGACACTTGGTTTCGTGCCAATTACGCATAACTAAGCGCAGCTTATGGACATCAGGATTATGCATGACCAAAACGTACAATGCTAAAAAACTCTTCGCTTGACTGAACATCAATGCTGATATGAATATCCAGATTAAGCTAGATATAAATAATAAGTTTCCGTTGCAATCTACGAACTAGCGGATACGGCTGCAGACTTCCTGTTTGTCTACCCATCCGTAGTTTCGTTTGCATCGAAAAACGTGGCTACAGTCGTGCGGTCAAATCACTATCGAGCATGCCGTTGCACCGTCAGTAGCCTTTGCCCTTCGATACCTGTGTCCTTGTGCTGTGTCCATCGTTATACCACCCATTCCCTCGATTTACGTCACACATGGGTGTGTGTCATAGCCATAACGCCTACGTTACTGTTAATACTAAAGAACCTCCTTTGTGCCTTCAGGTGACAGCTCCAACTTGGCACTGACAAATTAAAGGCGCACATTTATTCGTATCGACAGTTCGCGGTTGATCGACTGTAGCTGTCAGAGGTACTAGCTTGAGGGGGACCAGTCCCATAATACGTGTTAGTTGGCATCTCTCGTCATCTAGTGCCATTGAACAAAAACATACGGGCCACGGCAAGTTAATCACGTAGCGGCGTTGTCGGGTGTGTTCACGTACATTGATGAGAACCATTTGATGCATGGGTATCGCCCAAGTCAACTAAAACATACGGGCCACGGCAAGTTAATCACATGGCGGCGTTGTCGGGTGTGTTTACGTACACTGGTGAGAACCAGTTGATGCATGGGTATCGCCCAAGTGAACCCGAACTACTTAACGGGACCGACTCGTGAGACGAACGTAAATCGCTGCATCTCCGTGACGAACATTTACCTTTCAGGGGGGGGGCATACTGACAAGGAGCGAAGGTGGAATCTACCCACCATCCACGATCATGGTGTTACCGTTTACCTTAGGTGATTTCAGTAATACCCTGCCAAATGGCCGCCACAACACATGAAGCCGAGACCCCCGAAACGGAAGCCATCTGCATATTTGCAAGTAGTAGAGAGTAAATTGAATGCCTTGCTCTCATAAGAGGATAAGGTTGTAGGAACAAATCTGCGTTTTAGCTAACTAAGCTGAAAGCAGGTAGAACTGGGTCGATAAATGCTGTTGCAGTTTCCAGGGTTGGACGTTGATCTTGGGCTAAGCTTGCCGAAACATGCACTGGCTCCGATTCACTCATGCATTCATTTTGTTACCCCATCAAAAGAAGCCTGTCAACTTCGCCTGTCTAGGCTTGGGCGACCTGGTAGTATCCCAGCCCTCGTGCCCCCTTCGTGTGGCATGCCGGCTAGGCACCGAAAGGGTGCTACAGCTGAACGATTATTTATTTAAAGTGGCAGTAGCGCTGATTTCTTTAGAACTGCCCACTCTTGTTTACCCTCCGATCATACACCAAATACATGGCTTTCAGACTAGTGTGCATGCGACTGACTCAGTGCAAACCATACGTGGCTGTCCACCGTGCGCGGGTGCGATCGGCGTTGATTTCTTTAGAACTGCCCACTCTTGTTTACCCTCCGATCATACACCAAATACATGGCTTTCAGACTAGTGTGCATGCGACTGACTCAGTGCAAACCATACGTGGCTGTCCACCGTGCGCGGGTGTCGATCGGCGTAATTCGGTGTGATGCGCCAATCCGGGAAACGGATGTCACCTCAGCAATGCTATAAGACACAGCATTCATGAGGTTTAATACTGTTCCGCTGTAAACTTCAGTAGTTCTTTTTTTAAATTTGAGCCACTCGTCCTGGTCACAAACCTGAACAAAACGGTGTCGCAGCCTTTCGCGGTAATCCGGATGTATTTCCATGCGTCCTGTCAGATACTTAAAAAACGAGATTCAAAATACCGTCGGTGCATTGTTCACCGATATAATGCCAAAATTCCCCCTGGTAATCCGAATAAATTCCATTTTTGTGTTTAGTTTTACTGCAGTACATTCTTGACTTGATGTAGGAAAATACGCCTGGATTACCGCGAATCATACCAATGCTGAAACTTCTGTAAAAACCAGGTAGAGGACTAGTAGTGCATACGAAATCCGAAGCACTTATAAAAAGTTGGATCGTGCTGGACCAACATTAATTCTTCGCAGTAACTACCTACACTAGCACCAATGTTTTGGGTATTCTTTGAGGCTGATCGCCCCAGAAAAGAAGCAATGCAGGCGAAATGAGCATAGTGATGGCAATCCCGTCAACGCCTGAAATCCTGTATAAGAAAAAACTTGAATACGTCCATAGAATTTCGCTAATTTTGTGCGTCCTGTTGTTTATGGCAATCGTCGGATGCACATTTTCATTACCATAATCGACAATCACGGCACCATGGTCAGACACAAATGGCTCCTGGGAATCAGTCACCTGTTCACTCGCTGTATGTCGTTTTGTTCAAAACCACAAATCGGAAGTCCAACGTAACAGTGCGGACATCAGGAAGTCCGTCCTATAGGCTGCTTGAAGACAAACGCGTTTGACGGTTTAATCCTGTGATTGGACACTCGACATTCCAAAGGTATCGCCGGGTGGTTCAGCTTGAGAGAACGATTCATCACGTACAAATGAGAACTGGGTGATGTGAACGAATAACGCAACAAAGTGTTACCCGAAGTGGACGTTCCTTCATTCCGCTTCCAGCTATCAAGGCTTATTTTGGGGTGGACTGTGACGAACCGCCCGAGTGCCGTAAATCGTTAATCCACAACAGCTGCCGCTAGCTCACCCATTTATGAAGCTGAATACAATGAAAACTGTCCATTTTGCTTATGGTTTGATAATCGTCCCACATTGGATATGTAAGTCCCGATAAGGTCTCCCTTGACTGTCGTTTTTTTAACCATTTCGCCATTTTTCGTTCTGAATTCTCGATGTGTTATCAATGCCTTGCGTGAAGTATAAAACAAAATCTACTGGATCCCAGTTGTGTGCGATGAATCTGGCAACCCCGCTACTGTCGCAACTTCGGTCTTATACAGAAGTGCATCGTTATTTGACGATTTTACGGTTATCCGTTCACTTTTTTCTACCGTATAGCTACAGTCAAAATTCGAGGCCCTTAAACGCAGTCATGCGGAGGAGAAGAAAAAGTTGGAGGATAAAAAGAGAGTTTTGGAGGAAGAAATGGCCGCTTTCGAACGTCGAAAACAGTGGGCTGAACAGGCAAAAATGGGCAACACATTTAAAAAGAAAAAATGAGCGTCTTCCAACTACTTCTTGCACTTCAAAAGCCAGACTGCGCTTTTGCGTAACCATTGTCGCAGCACCGCATTTCGTCCGCTTATTCTACGTTTGATATACGTGTTTTAATCAGTTCCGTTTCTCTGCTGCTGATCTCGTAAGCATTGCGAACTCGACTTTTCAAGTGATCCACGTGTTTTTAATCGACTTTTGACTTATTTTGCTTCCTTGGTTCCGCCTGCTCGCGAGCATTGCGTGCATTTCACTTTAAAATACCCGGCATTGTTGTTCGCTCACCCAATATGAAGCCCTCAGACAAAATACTGCCTTTTGACCTTACAATCGTGCATTGAGTCCACCCCGTCAGTTTATCAACTAAGAAGTGTGTAATGTGACGCCGACGCAGAACCGATTATTAAGTGAGGAATACCGGGGAAATACAACAGAAAATACAGCTGAGCGCTCACGCTGATGTTCTGAACCTGAAAACAACCATAAAACACGCAACATGTCCATTGTATATTATCCTCACCCGCCCACGTTGATGGCTTACTTCTGTATCAGTGTCTAAAAGTACGTGGTTGTCAGTTGGCTACGTTTCCAGCTTACCAACGCACCTTTCGCCAACTTATCTCGGCAGTAACATTCGTCGGCCAACCATAGTTTTCGTGCAATCTTTAAAACCACAATGTCCCACCTCAAAGCAATACCACAATGGAATCGACGTGAATACACGTAGGAGAGCGTAACACGTTCTGAGCACGCAAGCTTCAGTGCCGAAAAGCCGTTATTCATCTAATGGAAGCCTAATACTAACGAGAAGGGCGAGGAATGTATGTAGTGCCAGTCTCTCACAGACATCCTAAGGTGCAAGGACGACGATTGTGAAACGGCTATAACCTAAGAAAATACCGCATTTGCATGTATCGTCCGGCGGTCTCCGGATCTGTCTTCTGTCTGACTTATATACTAGTCCCCGCGCAGGAAACTACGAAAAAATTAGGAACAGCTGTTTTCAAAAGGCAGAACTGTACAATTTGTTCAAAGATAAGGAAGAGTGTTGCTGNTATCAAGGCTTATTTTGGGGTGGACTGTGGCGAACCGCCCGAGTGCCGTAAATCGCTAATCCTCAACAGCTGCCGCTAGCTCACCCATTTATAAAGCTGAATACAATGAAAATTGTCCATTTTGCTCATGGTTTGGTAATCATCCCACATTGGATGTGTAAGTCCCGATACGGTCTCCCTTGACTGTCGTTTTTTGAACCATTTCGCCATTTTTCGTTCTGAATTCTTGATGTGTTATCAATGCCTTGCGTGAAGTATAAAACAAAATTTACTGGATCCCATTTGTGTGCGATGAATCTGGCAACCCCGCTACTGTCGCAACTTCGGTCTTATACAGAAGTGCATCGTTATTTGACGATTTTACGGTTATCCGTTCACTTTTTTCTACCGTATAGCTACAGTCAAAATTCGAGGCCCTTAAACGCAGTCATGCGGAGGAGAAGAAAAAGTTGGAGGATAAAAAGAGAGTTTTGGAGGAAGAAATGGCCGCTTTCGAACGTCGAAAACAGTGGGCTGAACAGGCAAAAATGGGCAACACATTTAAAAAGAAAAAATGAGCGTCTTCCAACTACTTCTTGCACTTCAAAAGCCAGACTGCGCTTTTGCGTAACCATTGTCGCAGCACCGCATTTCGTCCGCTTATTCTACGTTTGATATACGTGTTTTAATCAGTTCCGTTTCTCTGCTGCTGATCTCGTAAGCATTGCGAACTCGACTTTTCAAGTGATCCACGTGTTTTTAATCGACTTTTGACTTATTTTGCTTCCTTGGTTCCGCCTGCTCGCGAGCATTGTATGCATTTCACTTTAAAATACCCGGCTTTGTTGTGCGCTCACCCAATATGAAGCACTCAGACAAAATACTGTCTTTTGACCTTACAATCGTGCATTGAGTCCACCCCGTCAGTTTATCAACTAAGAAGTGTGTAATGTGACGCCGACGCAGAACCGATTATTAAGTGAGGAATACCGGGGAAATACAACAGAAAATACAGCTGAGCGCTCACGCTGATGTTCTGAACCTGAAAACAACCATAAAACACGCAACATGTCCATTGTATATTATCCTCACCCGCCCACGTTGATGGCTTACTTCTGTATCAGTGTCTAAAAGTACGTGGTTGTCAGTTGGCTACGTTTCCAGCTTACCAACGCACCTTTCGCCAACTTATCTCGGCAGTAACATTCGTCGGCCAACCATAGTTTTCGTGCAATCTTTAAAACCACAATGTCCCACCTCAAAGCAATACCACAATGGAATCGACGTGAATACACGTAGGAGAGCGTAACACGTTCTGAGCACGCAAGCTTCAGTGCCGAAAAGCCGTTATTCATCTAATGGAAGCCTAATACTAACGAGAAGGGCGAGGAATGTATGTAGTGCCAGTCTCTCACAGACATCCTAAGGTGCAAGGACGACGATTGTGAAACGGCTATAACCTAAGAAAATACCGCATTTGCATCTATCGTCCGGCGGTCTCCGCATCTGTCTTCTGTCTGCCTTATATACTAGTCCCCGCGCAGGAACCTACGGCAAATTAGGAGCAGCTATTTTCAAAAGGCAGGACTGTACAATTTGTTCAAAGATAAGGAAGAGTGTTGCTGTTACAACGTAAATGCAGTATGTGCTTTTATGATCCGTAGAGGATCTTTCGGTCGATCCATATGATCCACATCGACCATGCCCATTCGTTGAACGACTTTCATTCCGGAGGCAACACGGCCAAATATAGTATGTTTCCCATCCAGCCACTGTGTCGGAGCAAGAGTGATGAAGAACTGACTCCCATTCGTATTTGGGCCAGCGTTAGCCATGGAAACAATACCAGCGCCTAAGAGTTGTAAAGTTAAGTTTCATAAGAACGGATAGAATAAGCAGACGAACCTGTGTGCTTGAGATCTGGGTGGATTTCATCTTCGAAATAGTTGCCATAGATGGAGGCTCCACCCCGACCGGTACCAGTGGGATCACCGCCTTGAATCATGAAATCGCGGATGATGCGGTGAAATGAAACGTTGTTATAATATCCTCGTTTGGCTAGCTCGGCAAAGTTCATACATGTTTTCGGAGCATGTTTCCAGTACAACTCCACAGCAACAGTGCCCTGGCTTAATGGATGGGTAAATGGAAAAATAATATAACATACGTTGTTTCCAGAAGGACATAGGGTGGCTGGTCTGTCATTTGTTGGTGTGTTCTGTGCAAACAAAATGCTTTTAAACATGGGCATTGCGTCTTGGTGCGTTAGCAGTACATATACCTATTCCCAAAGCATACAAATGTGTACTTTATTTCACAAGTGAAAAAAAATAAATCGGTTAGCAGTTGCTGCTGCTTATCAAGGACGACCAGCAGCTACGTTTGGGAATTGTAACCAGTCTCTGTCACAACACTCAGCAACCGCCGTCGATCACGGTAGCTCGTCCTACATATTCAGTTTGGAGAGACCGGGCATGTGAAACGATAGTGACCAAACCACCCGTCTAACGGTGGTTCGAAAGGCCAATAAGTTGTTTTGGTATTCACCCAAACTCAGACGACAGGTGGTCTACCTCAGTGGTTTATTATTCTTCAAACCGGGTGACATCTCTTGCACTTCGCAGTTACTCAGCGAGCCTATGGGAACGGACGAGGGGCCACAACACCGAAGCCGTAGTAGGATGCCCGTTGAACTGAGACTTGAAGTTTCTTTTGCTTTGATACGCATAGTACTGGAAAACTGCTCGAAACCCGAAGACAGCACGCGACCGATTCTCTCCTGCTTGTGGTATGGTCTCCAAAAGTTGAGACAATTTCAACAGCGATTTGGTTGAGTGTTTGCTCTCGTACTCAAATGCATGGAGAAAATGGTGGAATCGGATAACCGAGACTCTTGTACTCAATAGCAAGTTGATATTTTTCGGCGTGATCAGCAGCAAGCAAAGCACATCGATATTCCGTGACGGAATCTTGGATGTGAGCTGAACGTGACCCCATAACTTTGCTCCGGTCTTTGAAAAGTTTGTTCGTTACCGCTGTCCGTAGTGAGGTCTGCGGATGGCTGAGGTGGGGTGTTATCACTGCCGCCGTAATCACTGTCAATGACAGCAGCATCAGTGTTTACACTGGCGCTTCACCGCCGTACAACTATCAGGGTTTCCTTAGCTACCTTTAAAGCCTTAAAGCAGAAAAGGGCGGATAAAGGAGTGACTTCGTATTAACCTACCACAGTAATTCTGGAGTGCCAACACCTACAAACACTTAATGAGATAATCCATAGGCAAATTGACAGTACGGATGCCACGGACATCGGCTAGCCGCCATATCTCTCATCGGCTCCAAAGGACCTCATCCCGGGATTCGGATTGTACAGACAACAACCTAACTTCGCACAATCACCGTCAAACCTTTTCTTCAGGTCGAGATAGCTCAGTGGTTAAGGTACAAACCTACTGACCGCAAGGTTCGAACTCGACCCCGGCATCTCGACTGCTCCGCTCTAGGCAATGGCGACCTGACAGTATACCGGTCCCTCGTGCTTCCTTCGCGTGGCACGGCGGCTAGGCACCGAAAAGATGTTATATCTGGACGGTTTTTACTTCAAGGACATGTTGCCCACCCCACAGTTTGCATCATTCCAAAGGAGACAGAACACTCAGCTCTACTGACGTTGACTCGGAGCGACCAGACGATAGCCTATCCACCGCGGTTGATGAAGCCGTGTGATGTCTGTGACTGAGGTATCAACAACTCCCTTCATTAGCTTTCGCGCTGGCGCCGTCAGGCAATGACCAAATGTCCAAGGATGCCTCAGATCATCCGCGGCCACAGAACAAGCCTGATAACCACAATACAACGCGTACTACAACCTGCGGCGTACAACCCGTGAGATTTTGTGACGTCTTTTTGGTGCCACAAGTAACGCAAACTGGCTTGGGTGATTCGAGCCTTTGGAATCCGCACACCGACTTTCTTCAGAGGTGATATAACTGTTGAGGTAGTGAAACTCTCCACAACCTCCAGTGCTTCTTGATCTTCAAAGGATGTGTTCAGTTACTGCACATTCCCAGACTTGACCTTGTATCTCTTAGATTCAGGGCGTATAATGAAGGGTCCATGGTACTTATTATTATTGTTATTATTATTATTGTATTGTTTACCTAATGACCAGTGTTTTCCACCAATCGATGTCTTCTGCACACTTTAGGTCCTCAATTTTTTTTTCTCTAGAAACGATTTGGATGCAAGTATCCAAGTATTCATCCAATTATTTCGTCAACGATGAAAACTTTCAGGAATGAGGATATCTTCCGGACGATTTTTGTGTGAACTTTTTGGAAAGCTCGTCACAAAACAAAAAGAACGTGAATATAAGGAGTAGATTACGTTCATGTACTTCTGAGCAGACATGATCAGTGCTGTCATACCGATAGTTTCGAACTCATCAAGGGACAACAGGATTCCGGTCGTTTGCACAAACGGCACAGCTATGATGCCTGCGGGAGTGTGAGGTGGCCAACGAGGTACCTCTTAGTCTCAATCCCTCTCTGGTTACCACATAAGCAGTGACTGCCCTCGTGAAGAAAGTCATCACTGTCATCAATGTATCATGGCTGCAGGACATAAAGAAACACCACAGTATCACTCCAGTGGCCTCTCGTTCAATTGACTAACTAATAGCTAAAATGAAAGATAATAGTGGACAACCTTGTTGTACGCCGGGTTCGAAGTCGGTCCAGTGGTATCTTCCCCGTACATCCGAACCCGCAAATATGCTGACGAGCGATGGGCCTTAGTGAGCTATATGGAATTCAGAATTCTGGGGTAACATCCACACAGAATCAACAGTAGCAAGATTAAATGCAGGTCAAAATATCGAGAAGTACCGAGACGCAAGATGTGTGGACCTCAACTGATATCCCATCTTCCGCTTTTTTGTCCTTCACTTGTTCGATGACCTAAGCGATCTCCGGTTTATTCGGCTCTCCACAGTTGAAGTCGGACTGCTTTCCAGATCCGGGAGTGGACGAGTAGTTGGGCATATATTTGTATTAGACCGATCATCGTTTCAGCTTTCTTCTATACTCGCTAAAGAAATTTTCCACTTGCAACACGCACCGAACATTTACGAGGTTGAAACCACACAAGCGATGAAAACGTTTGCCGAAAGCAACACAGCTCGAAACGAGATTCACGTCTTCTGGCAAATCTCGTAGCCTTTTGTCATAGCGCGAGAGAATCATTTGTTCTGGCGAGACGGGTTTCGTTTCATTTACTTTCTTCACCTATATAATCTAGTGTCATTGCTTGGCTGTTCCGTAGTGGTTCGTGTACAGGTCTTTGAAGCCGCCCATTGGAACCAAATAGTTATCTAGAAGGTTAGAGCTCCTAGCCTTCAGTCCGTCTACCTGGATTGTATCTTGCAAGACTGAGAACTGTACAGCCTTGTAAGAGTCAACACAAGGGACTTCAATGCGTGGTTTCCGCAGACTTGTTGCACATTTGGGTCTACTGGCGTCCCAATGGCCAGGCGTGGTGTTCGCATCTTGCGCGCCCCTGGAAAAGCGCCACGAGAAAAAGCAATGAACAAGCGCGTGAGCTGGAACAACACTGGTGTTCCATAACGATCGACGATCAGTAATTGATCCACGTCACGCACTGCTAGTATAGTCGGTATATATTGTAGGTTGGTTGGCATGCAGAAGGCACCATGTGACCACCATGATCAGCAGCATTCGTAACGCTACACAAGCATGACGCAATGTGAATATGTGGTCAACGCATCCCCTAACTGATGCCTCCTGGCTCGTGTTTCGCCTGATTGCAGAAGTTGTAGCAATACTGAAGCCAATCAATGTTACAGCTGAAGTTAGCCTCGCTTCCTTCGGTTTGCATGGATAAAAATTCGTTCAGCTGTAACACCCTTCTGGTGCCTAGCTGTCATTCCACCCGAAGGAAGCACGAGAACTGGGGTATTGCCAGGTTGGCCAAACCTAGACAGGGGAAATCTAGATGCAGAGATCGAGGTGCTTAGGCCGTTGAAGGGTGTAACAGCCAAACCATTCCGAATTTCTCGTTATCATACGGCTGCAGATGTCGCTACGTTTTCGGTGGTCAGCCGCATCTAAACATCGAAGATCACACCGCTTGGACGGGTGTCACGCGCAGGCTATGGACGAAACAGGGGCATGCCCTGATTGGTCAGAATGCCAGCCAATCTCGATCTAGCACGTTTGACTTGACGATTCTCGCACTCTCACGGAGATTCAAGCATGACCTTGTGGAACATTCTGCGATGTCCCTTCAAATACGGTTTCAATGATCTTTCTTTGTATCCAGAGGGGGCTATCTGAAGATAACGTGCCTTTTGGTATGTCTTAGTAGCGGAGAAGGAAGCCATGGGACCGACACAGAGTTGCCCGACCATTCAGCGGGTCATAACACTTTAAGTACCTTTACTCAGTGGAGCCGCGGTAACTGATTGACACCATTTTGCATTTATGTTCCCAAATTAGTCTGAGTCGTAAAAACGCCACACACTGAATAAAAATTATTGGGAGCTCATATGATTCATGGCCTTACGTCGTTTCAGACACTCATCAATTCATAAAATGAAGACAATCCCAAGCTCACTGGCACATTACTGGGTTTGACGAAGCTAAATTTGAGACATTGATACGAAGGCGATGATTGTCGAAACCACTCAGTCGGGTGTTCGAGACGACTGTTAGCGTCAAATAAACCCCTCTATAGTGCGCTTCGTGGCCGCGCTAAGTCGATTCTGGGACCCGTTTTGTGCACAGGGCGAATAAGCATTTGCAACTTCATACCTGCACTAGCTTTCTGCATTTCTCGAGCATTCCGATGAGACCCGTTTTGTGCACAGAGCGAATAAGCATTTGCAACTTCACACCTGCACCAGCTTTCCGCATTTCTAGAGCATCCGATTCTATCCGGCTCTTTTATCCCCTGTGCTTGAGCTGACGTCTTGCAAACCTCTCTGCTGTGCTTGAGCTGACGTCTTGCAAACCTCACTGAATTACGCTCATATTCCGAATGGATGTAGGGTATCACTCACAAAAGCACCTGCGACTGTACAGAATTCCAGTGCTCATTTAGTGGTTAATAGGAGTCACCGAAGTTCATATACAAACAGCAGTGCATGCTGGTCTCGCTTTTTTGAAGCGTCACATATGTTGCCTCGAGTAGTCCGTCTGACTTATGAGTCAGAGGATTTTTCTGTGGCTCCGCGAATGGCTCCTTCGGTCTCTCGTGAAAACTTGCGGAAGATTTTCACTGGACAAGCGTGAACTGAATTTATGTGAATGGTCCAAAGAGATCCGCAATCAAGAGCAGCCCGCCATTGCCAGCTGATGCCTGTGTTTTTTACCCGACTCCACCATTATCCATCGGTAGCGGAACGCCGGGAAGCGCATGGGAGCTTACTACGTCTGTGTTTTGTCATGCTGACGTGACCAGTAGAACGGTGCACGAGGTGGATATCATCATCGTTACGTTAGTTGTTGAGGAGAATGATGGTATCCCAGGTAGTGTTGATAGTCGATTATTACAAAGTTTTCACCACATATCTTGCTGTTAGTTGTTTTTAGATCATATTACGGTCGACTCGTCCGTCGAGCTTGGCAGTTGGCTCGCAAACGTCTCGTTTCCCGTCAAGGTGATATCGTCAGTGCGAAGTTGAGTGAGGCAGACGGAACAACGTCCATCTGGGCAACCACCAGTAGTCGTATCCGAGCCACCAATATTTCGACAAAGTAAGGTGACGTCGTTAGCGGGTTACAAAGTGGCACACTACTGGCCCAGCATTAAACTCCGTTAGGCTCTCAAACAAGATACTGATGATGTCACCTCGATTGATGACGAAATTTTGCAATCAGATTATGCAGCTAAGCTAACAAACCAAGGACCTACTACATTCTGAACCCAAGCGAAGCAGGCTCCGCGTCCTAGACTCACTCGAAATTTCTCCGAAACCGTGGCTCGAAAAGGGAGAACTTTAACACAAAGTTTTAGCATTTGGTGGTAATTATTGTGGTACCTGAGATCTCCCCACGCGGTAGCAGTTTTATTAGAGGTTGTCTAAACGGACTCGGAGTCCATCATTGGCGCAGAATTCGTATTTTGTTGGCTGCGGTTGGCTTCGTTCATCGTCCCTATGAAGACAGCGCAAAATATTGTGGAAAAACTGATTTATTCGCGTGTTTTATTACGTACTAAGTTTGGGAATAAACTTAAAAGGACTTAGACAGTAATCACGCCCATTATGTCCGCGCAAACCCAAACTGGGGAGCATTTTCCACCTGGATATGCAAAATTCTATGGTTGCGCTATCCGCCCCGCCGATGCCAAATACTCTGCCACAGCTAGTAAGCTTTTTGTCGTTTGTGATGGTCAGCATCCGTTATATCAAGCTTAAAGTAAGGTTTGATCTTCATCGATATACCATACCAATAATGGTGCCGTTGGATAATCCATTGAGTTTGTCGACAGAAAAAGCGGACGGCACAACAAGATGGCCGCTGCTTTTAAATCCACGCACAAATTCAAGGGACTGAAATGGACTTCTGGGCAATACGCTCGTCTGGGGAATATTAGAGATATGGTGAACAACGAGCAAGCTATCAGACTGGGTATAATAATCGCGGTACCGTCATCGCGACACCGTAGTTCGGTTCGTGGACAGCCCCGTACATGAATATCTTGGACGAGCCATTTAAGTTTGCCATTGTAGTTGGGATATTATTGGGTCTATCGGGGGTTCTTGGTGGTTCATTGCTGCCGTTCAAAAGAGGTAATAAGACAGCGATATCTACATTGGGATTCGAAATAGGAAAGTGTCCAGAAATTTTCCTAGAAGGCACTTTCATGCGCGTCAGAGTGCCTCCCGAAATATCAGGCAGTCAAAAGTTGCCACAATCGCTAGCTACTCTGATGAGGCGACATTGCCTGATTTCAAAAACGGTAGTCGATATTTACGTGTAGATAATAGTATGCAGACTGGCGAGGACGTACGCAAGTACGAGAGATGTGCAACGACTGGACTGCGTGCAACTAAGGTAGCTTGGAACTTGTAGAGAGATGAGATCAGAGATATCTGGTGGTGGTGCCTGTCCGTAAGATGAGCTGACCTCAGAATGTAGCTGTTACATTCTAAAAAATTCGCGGAGATTTGAGAAACCATTGTTCTCTGAGGTGCCATATCGCGTGTATTTGGTGAGTCTTGTAGCATTTTTCCTTTCTATCAATAGATATTTCGGTTCGTAGGGCGACTGCTCGGGATGTATGTCACAACCAGGGCAAACTCAGAACGGAATCAGCTTTCCCGTCCT